GGGTATTTTCATGTTGCAGCCACAAAGGAAGTCAGCTTTCTTCTAGCAGCTGCTAGGTCCCATGAATCCATGCAACTCACCAGCTGTCTCTGGCTAGAGATGGGGAAGAAGTTCATTTGGTCCACATTTTTAAGTGAATTGACCTAACTTGCATTTTCTGGATTAATACATTATCCGTGTACAGTTCTCTGAATTTTGTGCTTTACTGCTATATTCATTCAAACATGAATGCAATAATGGAATTTATTAGGAAAAGTGTTAGGGAATGACATATTAAGAAAGCAGCATACAGCCCTTCCAAATTCAATGCTGTGCCTTCCCTAAGGGTTCTCTTCACCTCCTCCTTGGTCTTCCTTTTCTTCTGCCTTCAACATTCCCTGGCATGGTTGTCTTCTCCAGCAAGTCCTGCCTTCTCATGATGTGCCCAAAGTAAAACAGCCTCCATTCTGTCATTTTTGCTTCCCTGGATATTTTTAGGGAAAACAGTGTATGCAAATAAATGCACATTTTCATTCTCTTAAAAAAGGCACAGCTGATGTGAATAATCTATACTAAAGACTTGTGATGGAAGACCAGCAAAACTGGTATGGGACAGAAGTAGACTTGGACCTATCATTTCTAATAAGCTATTGAGCAACCTTGATCAGGGTTCCCATTTGCACAGGGCTTAGATTTGCATTTGAAGAATATAAGTAGAAGCCATCTGCATACCTTCTCCTTCAACATGGGAAGGCTGGGAACTATGGGAATGCTGAGAGAAGAGTTTCTCAGCATGTCTTTCTCTCCTCCATGTGATAAGGCTGAATTTCTCATACCATACTCCAGAACTGCTGCCTGGATTTCCTTGAATTTCTTCCCCCTTCTTCCTTCCCATTCCTTTCGTATTAAGTCAGTTAGATTGAGCACCTTTAGACAAGAATTGTCTCCTCGCTAATTTCTCTAAAGACAGCAAAGATAGCAGTGTGCATGCTGGTGCTCATTCCGGTCCATGTGTTAACACATACGCACTTGCACACAGCTCTGGTGGCATGGTTTGCAGGGGGTGTCCCTGATTTTGCCTTCAAAGTGACGTCACCAGTAAGAAATCTTACCAAAGCTTATGGCTCTTGATTAAATATTTGCTGTAATTAGCACTAAGAGGGAATGTGATGAATATTAATTCTAAGCTTGTGAAAGAGCTGATACTGTTAATGAAAGACAGTGGGGGTCCCTGTAACAACTGCTTTAGAACTCAAGGTAGTATAAACTTCTTTAGAACAAATTGCACATGGACATAATTCCCTACATCTCTCTCTGCTCTTTTAGAGGCTAAAAAATGGCTGACTTTCATCCCTTTTCAAACAACTGATATTCTCATGCCCTCCTGAGACTGTTTCCCAGACAGGGCCTGTGCAACCTTAAATTCTTGCTCATGGGCAGCTGTGACATAGAAACATAGCGAGTCAGAAGGGGTCTCCTGGGCCATCTAGTCTGACCTCTGGCACCAGCCGGCTCCACTCACAGCATGCCCACCATGTGGATGTCCAGCCTATCCTTGATCACCCGCACCGATGGGACCTCAACGACCTCTCGTGGAAGCCCATTCCACACCCTCAGGGTCCTGACTGTCAGGAAGTGCTTCCTGGCATCCAAATGGAACCTTGGCTCCCTGAGCTTTGCTCCGTTGGAGCGTGTCCTGCCTTCCTCTGCAGGGGAGAACAGGTCTCTACCCATCTCCATGTGACATCCCCTCACATACCTGTATGCCGCCAACGTATCCCCTCTGAGTCTCCTCTTCTCCAGGCTGAAGTGACCCAGTTCCCTCAGTCTCGCCTCATACAGCATCCCCTGCAAACCAGCCACCACCCTTGTGGCCCTACACTGCACTGACTCCAACCTGGCTATATCCTTTTTGGTATGAGGGGCCCAAAACTGAGCACAATACTCCAGTTGCGGGCGCACCAGAGTCGTATAGAGTGGTACTAATACCTCTCTTGATCTAGAAGCCACACTTCTGGCTATGCGACCAAGGGTGGTGTTCGCCCTCTTGACGAACTCATGTTTAGCCTGCAGTCAACCAGCACCAGCCTCTTCCTGGTCAGCCACCTCTTCCATTGGATGGGTATGGGTTGCAAAGTGCCCCCCCATTCATTAAACTGTGAAGATGCTTTTCCTCCATGGCTTAGAGACCAGGTGGACAGCATGTGCCCTGTGCCCCCTTCTTGGCAACTGCCATGGTGCCCAGCCCCCATCCCCGATTAACACTTTTTCTAGCCAACATCTGGAATCTCTTTGAAGCAAGGCTGGCCATTCCAGCATCTGCCATCTTAATTTCCCAGGAATCCCTCTGGGCCACATGGTGGACTCAGAGGCTCTCTTAGGGGATGAAGGGCACAAGTGGTTGTAAGAGGCTTTCTTCTGCAGCTTGCCAAGCCCTGCAAAAAGAAGGGGAGGGAAGAAAATGGGACTTAGGACACATCTGTGTGCAGGAAATCGGAGGGGCTGTGCACCGCAGGGCAGTAGTGGGCCAGTTAGGGGGTTAGGAAAAGCATCTGGAATCTGCCCGGACTGGGGAAGGAGGTGTGCTTGTCTGTTGGACTAAATGGGTGGCATGTGTGTGCGAAAGAAAGAGGGAGAGAGAAAGGATGTAAAGGGCATTTGGTGGGGATACATTCGGAGAGTGAGCAAAGGTTTTTGCATGCTTGCAGCATGGAGGAGAAAAGGGAGGCTGTGTGTGTACACTGGATGCACGATATGTGCGTGTGGCAGATGAGGGGGAGTGCATGCAAGTGAGAGAGGAAGCCCATGGATGATAAGCTGCAGTGTGATTGTGCAGGTGGCCATCCAGAGAGAGAACTGGCCAGCAGGCGGGCAGGCAGAAAGCAGCTTGGCTTCTGTTGCTACTACAAACAGGTGGTCCGAAGGGGGAGTTCAGCATGTCAGGGCTTAGATCCCCCACTACCTTCTACTCATTCTTTGGGACAGTTACATATCCTCTGAGCTAGCCACGCCTGCTGTGGCTCCCATTCTGTTGTAGCATTATCGTATGGTGAAGAATGACTGCTCAGAAAGTGTCCATGTTCTTTCATTGCATCACAAGGAATTGATTTTCTTCATGGGGCAGAATCCTTTTGTAATCATTAAGCCAAAGAGAAGGCCCAAGGATATGTCTTTCAACTTCACATGCCTTTCAGTGTCAAACTCTGAGTATTGGGTTGGGTTGCCCCCATGCTCATAAGAGGCAGAGGGGAAGACGCAGCCCATTGTAGCTTGATAGGCTTCAAGAAACACTTGAACCTGCAGGGCTGGTCACTGGGACACCAGCTGCATTCCCTTAGATTAATCCAAAGTAGGGCTGGGACCAGCTCACAAGGCTATGAGTCTGGCTGGCTCTGGGCGGTCTGGCAAAATCTGGCAGATCATCTGATGGTTAGAATCAAATTCAATTGCTTTACTTGACTCTGTGGAGATATCCATGTTTTAAAGGCTTCTGCCTTTAACTATTTTAAGGGATTTGGCAGTAGTTGTTACTTTCAAACTATATTCAGATTTGGAAGTAATTTGGATGCAGTATATTGATTCATGTTTACTAAGGTTCCCTGCAGTACATCTAATGAAGGATATTATTCTGTAATACTTAATCATAAATAAATGTTGATTGGCTGGTAGTTCTGAGCCTCTATGAGCACCAACAATTGTAAAGCTAGGGACACTGATCAAGAAAAGAGGTTGGAGTTCAAGCTTTGAGCAGGCCCAGTGAAATTAACGGGACTTAACTGTGCCTACTGGAGTTTGATTATTCTGCTCTAAATATGGCTAAGATCAGATCCAGTCCAAAGTTGATTGTGATTAAGAGCACTGGGAGTGAAGCTCATTGCAAAGAACTTGCTTTCAAGGCAATTACTAATTAGACTTTCTGTGTTAGTTTCCATGGGACATACTGAAGGCTAACTTCGAGAGCCAGGTTAGTGTCATGGTTACAAGGACATGCAATGGGGCTTGGAAGAATCTGGGTCCCAGTTCCCATTTGGCCATAAAGTTCACTGGGTGACTCTGAGCCAGTAACTGACTCCCAACCTAACCTACCTCACAGGGCTGTTGTGAGGGCAAAAGGGACAGGACAAGCAGCATTATCTAAACAACTTGGAACCTTGCAGGAAAAGGTGCCTTATACATGTAATAACTACATATGAAATAAATTAATAAAAATGACTTCAAGGCCAACAGCTTTTTAAAACTCTTTGATAGCACCAAGGCATAGGTGTAAATGATGTTAAATGTAAAATTGTATGAGATTCAGGGGTAATTCTGGTGCTGCAGTTGCTGTATCCGAGGCTGCTGTTCCATTTACATAGCTGAGATACTGTTTGTTTATTTCATTTATTAGCACAAACAATCTCTAGAGCAACGCCAGTACAGTGAACTGGCACAGAAAACTTGCCCCACTGCTTTATGCCAGAGGTTGCCAAGGATGTGGGAGAAAGCTGTTCAGTTTGCATTTTAAAGCAAACCTACCTGATTTCACTGTTTTGAGCTACTAGAAGCACCAAAACACAGTTCTCTGAGTTTCTCTGAGTCTGAAGTTCTCTCATAATAATAAAAAAGTATTTTAGGGGAAATAACATTAAAATATATTTTAGTCAAGGCACTGTTTGCAGAATACTAATTAAAACACACACAAAAACTGATTCAATTAGGAGGAACGTACACAAACATGCCTATGGCTTTTCCTGAAAATTGGAAAAAAAATCTCAAAATTCGGGACAAAGTGAAATTAGGACTGGAATTCTCAGTGAAATTCTCAGTGTTTAAGATGAACCGAAGGTGGGAAGATACAAGAAACCGAGTGAAACAAGCAGGTTTGGTTTCACCCATCCACACTAGTTCGTATATGGACTGCTGAAGCAGTGCGGCAGTGTTGAACACCTGCTGAAGTGTGCATTGGCTGAGTGATGCTTTGTAGGTCAAATGTCTGCATCTTACCTGCCTTCTTTTTCTCTCTCCACCTGTCACCTTTGCAGGGTAATCAGGAAGCTACAGTGCCTCCTGACACGATGGCACAGCCTTATGCCTCAGCCCAGTTCGCACCTCCTCAGAATGGCATCCCAGCAGAATACTCCGCGCCCCATCCTCACCCGACCCCTGACTATGCAGGCCAAACCACAGTTCCAGAGCACACGTTAAACATGTACCCACCTGCGCAGACACACTCCGAACCCAATACAAGCGACACAAACGCACAAACCGTCTCAGGCACAGCCACAGTAAGTCCTGGCTCCATTCGTTTGCTTGCTCGCTCTCTCGGTCATTCATTCGTCCATTCGTTCGTTCTGTTGTTCGTTTGTCTGAGGGATATTTGTGAACATCCATTAAAAAAACCCATCAGTGTCTGCTGTAAGCCCTCCCCAGCTCAAAGGTCTATTTTTAGTTGCTTTGCATTTACTGTGAAAATGAATATTTGCAGATGTTTGAGATTTTCCAAAAAGTCCCAGTGCTAAATGTGAACATTTGAAAATGACTCTTCTTGCACTTCAGTGTGGACTTGCACCTCAAAGTTTGAGCATCTGGGCCTTTTAGGTATCTTTGATGGACTGGATTTTGCCAGACCTGGTCTTGATATGAGAAGAGAAAATGATCTGTAGGCTCAGCATGCCAGGTGTGACAATTCCACTGAGCGGTCAGGGGTCCCCCAAAGTTTTCACTAAGGGGTAATTTTTGCTCGTGATTTCACTTAGAATGGAAAGATTATATGAGGGGAGACCCAAAAATCAGGAATTGTCTTCTGGAGGGTGGGCCCCTTGTAGTCCAGGCTTCCCTGCTAGGTGGGAGTTCCGGGAACCCGTCCGCATCAGTGTCCCAGCCGGGTCGCTGCGAGAGGCTGCATTCGGCTTCAGTGAGGGTTTCTAGAGACTCTCTCAATGCGTTTGCCTATTTCGTGATGGCTGATTTACATGAACAACATGAAGTGGTAAAATTTTATTCAACAGAGTGTTCAGCAGTTTTTGACCAAAACCGGCATGATTGTTATGTCCCACTCTCCATATTCACCCAATCTCGCCCCTTGTGACTTTTTTGTTTGTTTCCCTGGATGAAAATAGTCCTCAGAGGGAAACATTTTGCTGATGTGGAAGAGGTGAAACAAAAAAACAGCAGAAGCACTAAATGCATCAAAATCAATAAGTTCAAAACCTGTAGAAAAAGCAGTGGGAAAAATGCCTCAGTAGGTGTATTACATCAAATGGAGAGTACTTTGAAGGTGACTGAAGTATGAACATGTAAAAATACATTATTTTTTAATAAATAAATTCCTATTTTTGGTGGGGGGGTCCTCCCTCATATTTTCACATCATAACAACTAGATTCCATACTACTCTAAGGATGGACCTCCACTCTATACCGATTAGGATGAACCCAACAAAAGTGGGTTTGTTTTGAACCAGTTCAGGTGAAGATGTGTAAAGCTTTGCCCTGCCCCACTTTAAGTTACTCATCCCAAACATTTCTTCCCCACCCTCCAGTCAAAGGACTCCCAGAGCATCTCACAAGAATCAGCAGTCAGAAAGGCTCACGATCTATAAAAAATCAAGATGCAAGGAAAGGGAGGAGGAGTGGAAAAAGCATAATAGTGGTGCTTGACTGAGTTGTGCGGATGGATGGGGACAGATCAGTTGAATTCAGGCTTACATGACATCTATTGTCCTCCTGGACTAGCCTGTCCTCATTCCTTTCTTCTTTTCTTTTGCATTCAAGCCGAATCAGCTTCAGCTGCCATCTCCTCGGGGCAAGATGTTTTCTTGGAAGCCTATCTAGTGGCAGTAAGGCAGGGACGTACTGCAACTGGGAGCCAGAGGCAGCAGCCCATTCCTTCTTCCATCTCCTTAGAACAAAATGTTCTTGTCTTAACCCCTGGGGCCTGGTCCAGCCAAGGCACCTCGCTTTAGATTCTAGGATGTGTGGGAAGAACAAAGCCACCTGTGCCAGAGAGGATGCACTGCTTGTTGAATGCAGTGATGAATTACAGATGCAGAATATAAGCAAGTGAAAGGAAGTGCCCGCTCTCCTTTCCTGTGCCTTTACTGGCCCCTTGCATAAGTCAGGGGATTCTCCATGGGCGTCTACAGTTGCTGTCTGAGTGATGCATTGATTCCTTTTCCTGGGATTAGAACAACAGGCAATGTGGTCTGGGGCAAAGTTGCTTCAGTAAAGGAAACTGTTTCATTCTCACAGCAGAAGCAGCACTTATCTACAGAATGATTTGGATCAGCAGCTTCATGATCATTCCCTCTGGTGGTCTTTTGGACAAGCTAACATGGCTTCAGGAAACTCTCCTGGGGTTTTGGACACTTAGAAGCTTCACTTCACTCTTGGTTACCCTTACTAACTTCCTTGCCGTTCTTCTGGTGAAGCCTATCCCATGCAGTGCCGCAAAGCATGGGCGGTGCCTCATTTCCCCAAATTACATTGTTGAGGGGATACAGCAAAGTATGGGGGAGTTGGCCTTGCACACGTAGTCCTTAGGATTACAGAGTGCAGATGTAGTTAAGAATACAGGTGACAAGGAAGCCCAGCATACACATTTCCAATACTTAATACTTCCATATCTTGTTAATTGCTTCCAATTAGCCATTAAATACTCAGTCTCCCTGCTTTGCAGTGCCTGTGGAGGGCAGGCAGGGTGTGCATGTGTGGATTCTCTGTTTTAGACATTACAGAATCCTCTTGCTGAACCCCATATAAGGAGACATTCAGCAGTAAGTAAGGTGCCTTTTTGGTTCCCTTTGGCTGCCATGTTCCCAGATTCTGAGATAGAAGTGAAGCAAGAAGATGCTGGGAATTGAACCCAAGATGTTCTTCATGCAAAGCATGTCCCACTTACCTCATTCAGACACTGGAGATGGGACAAGCATACTTGGTGGTCCCACTGCTGCTCTTCATACCAATAGAAGTGGAGTTGGAAGAGGCCTGTAAAACCCTTGGGTCCAACCTTTGCTCTGCCTCCACAGGTGGCCACCCATCTGGCTGCTGGCCTGTGGTTTTCTAGCTTAGCAAAAGTGACTCACATGCTAGCTCAGTGCAGAGCTATGCAGGCAGGTCAAATGACATGGAGTGAAATGCCCAAATATCGCTTTTATCTTGCCAAACTTTCTCTGTGGCTTAACCTGCTAGGCCCCCTCCCCATTTGAACGGAATGGCGTTTGAGAACTTTGGGACCACCAATGTGATGCTAACGCTTCCTATTGGGCGCCATGCCCCACTGATCCCGTTGTGCTAGCAGAGGGTCACGACCAGCTGCGTTATGCAAGCAGCACCCAACGTTTTCACAAGAGGGATTCATGAAAGCTGCCAAACTGGTGGGAATGCTTGTTTCTGGAGGGAGGCCCTCAGGTGAGCTCTGTTGCATGCCTGCTCCCGGAAATAGGTGTTCCCGGTCGTTTCAGGTGCCTCAGAAGTGTTGGCGTGCAAGCCGTGGGGTGTGGAATGCTCAGCCAGATGCAAGAGATGGGTGGGCATGGAAGGACCCCATGGGATTCTTCCCTGTGAGCTCCTCCCCTTCACCTCCCCTGCCCACCAGTCTGAATTTGCCGTGTATGCTCGTCAAAGACCTATGAACTAAGTGTGAGTTTTGGCTTACAGAGCCAAGATTTTCTTTTTTTTATTTCAATTTAATATATTTTTATATGTTGCCTTTAGCCCCAGTAAGCCCCCTCCTAAGATGCCATACAATTCAAAATTAAACAATTTAAATAATTAAAAAATGAAAATGTAATCTCCTCCCCAGTTTAACTTAAAACACAAGCACGGTGCCTTTGAAAGCAGCAGTGGCCCTCAAAAGTTGCTTTCTGGCCCTCGTAATAATATTTGCATGCGTTTCTTAGGAGCGTTTTCTTCCAACTAAGGTGCTTACAGGTCTATTTTTTCTTATCTGTGATAGCTGTGCATAATGCTGCAAATTGCTTCCACCAATCACTGATACACCATTGCCATACTAAAATTTATATATTATATATTATAGATCGAGATTATATATGGAGCTCCTAGCATCTGGTCCCCAGTGATACACTTTACTAAGCCCCCGCCACCCACCTTGAGATGATTGGGATGGCATCTGGCAGCCTGCACAGCTGGGCATTTTACCTTTTAAGTTAATTTACGGAATATCTGCATGTTTGGTATGTGATTGTGCGCTGAATTCAAAAAACTGGTTGGCATGGATGGTAGGCAGGGAGTAACCTGCTGAGGAGGAAGAGGAGGAGCAGACTAAGATGAAGAGGGAAAATACCAGTACACGGGGGTGGAGGAGGAGGCATTCCAAATAAGATTTATTCTGCCAATTTGCTTCAGATAAAATCTTCCTTGAGGACACTGTAGGATGCAGTGCTTCCTAAGGAATGCTTCCATCCTATGCTTAAGAATGGAAGAATCAGCGAGGCTCAAAGTTCTCTGAGATCCACCGCAAAGTTCAGCCAGCTTCATTCATCCATGAGCATTTCTTCGTATTATTTTCACTTTTTTTTTTTTTTTGAGAGTGTCCTTCCAAATATATACATCTCCCATGCACTAAAGTCCAAAATTAGGTATTCCTTGGAAAATACGTGCGTTGTTTGTGAATGTAAGTTTGGGAGCAGGTGAGCTTTTCCTGACAAAATACACTCCCACTTGCGTTCACATTCAGAGGTGTGCATGAAGCAAAGTCACATCAAAAAGAAAGAACACTTGGCATCCTTAGACTTCCTGAATCCAAACCGGTTCCCCAGACTAGCAATGCAAGGTGTGTGGCTGGTGCCCTCCATGTCAGTACTCAAGAAGAGCTTTGCTGGATCACGTGAAAGGCTGCCCTAGGCTTCCAGAATCCCTTTTTCCACAATATCAAAAAAAAAAAAAAAATACTGCTAGTGGGAAGAGCGTAAGGACAATAAAAGCACCCCACTTCTGCTCCTCAGCTGTTGGCATGTAGAGATGCCAGAGGCAGTGTGGAGCCAGTGTGACTATTGTAGAGATAAGAGTGTTTTGCATGCACTTACTGAATTTGGTACTGTGAAACCCCTATTTATGCAAATGAAAATGCAGTTATCATTCAAAAATCACACCTAGCTAAATTTTGACGTGAAGTTCTACAATCGGAGAATACATCAAGAACAACAACAAAGCTATGTTATGGAAAATAACAGTCTATATTAGGAAAATTGCTTGCTAAAATGTGCACTTAAGCCCCAAATGCCTACAAAATGCATATATTAGGAGAAAAGTATACAAAACTCGTTAT